GTGGAGGAGAAGGAAGCCCGTTACGGGGCCTGGAGGGCACAGTGCTACCTGCCTTCCCCCAGGCCACACCCACCAGCCTGGGGCCCCGTGGGCGTCATCGCCTCCCCAGCCCACCAGTAACTTGTAGGGTACATTTGTGAGTTGTCTAGCTTTCCCCTCTCTCTCTCTTTTGCTTATTTTTATGTGCACACACGTGTGTGTGTGTGTGTGTGTGTGTGTGTGTGTGTGTGTGTTTGTGTGTATCTGTGTACCTGTGTGTATGTGCACAGGTGTGCATGCACCTGTGCGCACGGGGGTGTGGTGTTTAGAGGTCATCGTTAATGTCTCCTTAATCACCCTCCATGTTGTTCTTCCAGGCAGCGTCTCTCTCTCTCTCTCTCTCTCTCTCTCTCTCTCTCTCTCTCTCTCTCTCTTCCTGTGATCCTTGAGCTCATGGATTTGGCCAGGGTCACCGAGCCCCAGGGTGATGCCTGTCTTTACCTCCCTGTGCAGATGTTACTGATGTCCGCCACCATGCAGTGTTTATCTGTGTTCAGGGGTTCAAACACAGGCCCTCCTGCTTGAATAGTCAGCACTTTACTGACTGGGCCATCTCCCTGATCCTTGTCTTTTTTTTTTTTTTTTTTTTTTTTGAGACAGTGTTTCTTTGTGCAGCCTTGGTTGTCCTAGAACTCTTTCTGTAGCCCAGGCTGGCCTCAAACTCACAGAGATCCGCCCGCCTCTGCCTTCCGAGTGCTGGGATTAAAGGCGTGCGCTATCATCACCCGGCCAGTCCTAGCCTTTTTTATTCCAACCTCTGTAAGCTGTTTGTGGGTTGAATTCTTGCCCTGCTCATAGGTTCCCCCTTTGGCACCCTCCCTGAGGTCCTTCTGTGTCACACCTGGAATGTGCTGTCGGAGGGAACAGAGCAAACCTAAGGTGACAAAGGGGCCACATGGGAGAGACTCCCAGGTTACTAAGGAGACGCTCTGTGCCTGCGGTGGGTGTGGCAAGTTTCCTAGATGAACAGTTCCTCTGAATTGGGGGTTCTGAAGAATGAGTAGGAGTCGAGCAGATGTTAACCCCAGCTTCCTAGCTTCAGAGATTGCCTGTTGTTTTGAAACCTTTGGATAAAAAAAATTTTTTTTAAAGGCAAATGTCAATGAAATTGACAAATGTTCTTTTAGTATGCACGGGGTGGGGGTGGTGGGGCTTGACTCTGGCAATTAGTGTTGGAATTAAGAACAAGGCGGTGGTGGGGACCGTTTGGCGTTTGTTCTTTTATTTGAGCACATTGCCTGTGTTGCTTAGATGTTTGAATGAAACCTAAAGAAAAACAACACAGCCTTTATCCTTCCAACCACGGCTTCCCGGGCTTCTGCTCCGACCTCCACAGGGTCCCGAGACTCTCGCGGGTAAGGACACCTGTCACCTAGGGCCGTTCTCGCAAGCTTGTTTTCAGACCTCAGTTCCGATCGGCGTAGGCCCTGGATGAATCGAGCCAAGTGCAGGCGATGAGCTGTCTATCCGTCTCCATCCTAATGGCCCCAGACGGGAGCGGTGGCTGTGACCCCGGATTGTGCTGCCCCACCATCATGGATGATGGATGGCAGGCTGGGGGTTCTGGGGAGGGTGCCGCTTCTCTGTGGGTGGCAGCGAGAGAGGTTTGGATAGGCGTGGTGGTGGAGTGTGACTTCAGGGGCCTGTCAGTCAAGCAAAGCCTTTGGCTTTGACTCCAACCCTTGTGGGTACCACTGTCTGTCAAACTGGCAGAGACCCTGGTGTCTGTCCTGTCAGCTGGCGCAATCGGGGTGGTTTCAGAGCTGAGAGGCCACTGGTTGTCCACAGATGTGCCTGAGGCTCTGGTATGCAAGAGGGTGGTAGGAGAGTGGGGTGTGGGGCCAGGCAAGGGTGCAGCTGTCCCCATATTCTATCAAGGTGGCTGATTAGAGCAGCGTGGTGAGGTAGATTTTGAGGAAGAGACACGCTTGGAAAGGTCCGGGGTGAGAGTCCCATTGCAGGCATCCCAGGCTGTACTGAATTTCTTCGAGGGCATACATGCCCAGGGCCCACCCTTCATCCCCAAGTCTCTGCAGTTGCAACTGAGGTAAGCCAAGGCCTTTAGGGTAGGGCCTTTATCCACTCTGATAATGTCCTTACATAAAGATGAAGACAGAGCCTGGAGTGATGTATCTACCAGCCCAGGGACGGACACTCAGGGAGCCTGGAAGGGAGGACAGAGGCGTGGGGTGGACAGTCATCTCTAGTACTTCAGCAGTGGCACATCCCTGCTGGCACTTTGATTTTGCACTCTAAGTCCCCAGAACTGAGGGGTAGTGGGATGGCTGTCCTAAGCTAATGTCAGTCTTGCCAAATGCCCTTACTGTATCACGGCTCTCCTCCTCCTCCTCTTCCATGCTGGGGATGATGGGAGTCAGGCCTTCACACATGATGGGCAGGTCTCAACACCCCCAACCCTCTTTTCACTTTTAATTTTGAGAAGTTGCCCAGGCTAGACTTGAACTCACTCTGTAGTCCAGGCAGCCCTTGAACTTGTCACCTTCTTGCCTCTGCCTTCTGAGTAGCTGGGGTGCCTGTACTTCCCAGCCTGGTCTATATCGACCAATTCTACCCCCTCAGTCACCCCAAGAGGTCAGTTCTGCCACCATTTGACAGATAGGAAAACTAATGCACGAAGACACTAAGTGAGTTTAGATATGAGAGGGCCTGGGCCGCCTGAAGGCCAGGGCTCCCCTCAGAGGGGGCCTGGAGCTTTCTTAGAAACTGTAGTAGCCTAAAGTATGGCGTGTAGATTCACTTAATTCTCTCTCTCTCTCTCTCTCTCTCTCTCTCTCTCTCTCTCTCTCTCTCTCGGTTTCTTTACTTTTATTTTATGTGTATGGGTGTTTTGGCAACATGAGTATCTGCACCAGAGGGCACTATATTCCCCGGGGCCTGGTGTTACAGATGGATGGTTGTGAACCGCCATGTGGGAGCTGGGGAATTGAACCCAGGTCCTCTGGAACAGCAGCTCGTGTTCTTAACCACGGAGCCATCTCTCCAGCTTGGCCATGTGTGAATTGAATTTCCAGTCTCAAAGGGCAAAAGCCATCCCAGGCTTGCTGGGTCCTCCTTGCTCCACCACAGGGGCACAGGCTGCTTGCTAGGCGTCCCCACTCTCCACCTGCAGTCTGGTCCTGGCCAGAGGCAGGTCTGCCTCTGCCAGGGGATGCGCCCAGGCAGACAGCGGCTATCTCATTGGTCAGAAAAGTCACATGACTCCAGGGTGCGCCAGGAAACCGGGGAGTGGCTCCTGCCTGAGACCCTGGGGCGTCTGGGGCGAGGATGCCCCTTGGAGGGTGGGACCCAGAGTTTCCCTTTCTCTGCTGCTGGGCAGCGAGGAGGAGAGGGGAGGGGAGCCCGGAGAGGAGGAGCCTGGTGACCGGCTAAGGCAGAAGGAGAAACAAAACAAAACAAAACGTCCTGGGCTCTCACATCTTCTCAGAGCCATAGAAGTGATTTCCATGACAACTGTTCAACCGGAGAGTTAGGCAATTCTGTGAGAGGGAGAGGAAACCCCGGGAGCCATGCCACAGAGAACGCAGGCTGGGGGTGGCCTTGGGGGTGGAAAGGGGAAAGTGTCTCCACGGGGTTCGGGGGGGGGGGGGACCAGCCCCCTGAAGGGAGGACTCTTGCCCTCCAGCCCCGGGAAAAGTGAGAGCAGTTGGGAGGGGAGTGGGAGGAGGAGGAGGAGGAGGAGGAGCAGACAGAAGCAGATAAGAGCGGGTGGTAGCTCACCCTTGGCTGTGGCTGGCTCCCGGCACCACTAGCTAGGTAAGGCTGCCAGGACAGAGTTTTGAAATGTTGTCCCATAGGGTTAAAATTCAGGAGACATTAAAAACACAGTGCGTGGGAGGTGGAGGCAGGAGGATTAGAAGTTCAAGGTCACCCTCAGCTGCATAGTGGGTTTGAAGCTAGCCTAGGCGCCAGAGACCCTTTCTCAAAACAAAACAACAACAAGGATGAAATTAGCCTCGAGGAGAGGCTGGAAGGGGCCCCAGGTGGGAGAGGGGTGGGTGGGGGTTCAGAGATAGTGAATAGAGTTCCCAGCACCATCACTTAAGGGCTGTGTGGCTTTAGATACAGTCCCTTGACCACTCTGAGCCTCAGATTTTTTTTTTTTTTTTCCCCAGACAGGGTTCTCTGTGTTGTTTTGGAGCCTGTCCTGGATCTCGCTCTGTAGATCAGGCTGGTCTTGAACTCACAGAGATCCGCCTGCCTCTGCCTCCAGAGTGCTGGGATTAAAGGTGTGCGCCACCACCGCCCGGCACCTCAGATGTTTTTTTAGCACAAAGGGAGTCACCAGGAACTCCTGAGCAGGCCCCGTGAGACCACACACTGGTGTAAGTGCTGGCTTCCAAGCAGGAAGCCTTAGACGTCCTTCCTCCTCTGGGTCTGTCTCCTTCCATTTGCTATCTGAGTATGAGCGTATTTCATCTACTCCTGAAAAAACCTTAGAGTCCAGGGGAGATCCAGCACTAGCCAGCACCCCATCACCACCACCACTTTGGGCAGCAGTTTGCATTTTTCCATATCTGGTTACAGTTCCACTTTGTCAGCTTTCCCATGAGCCTCCTGCTTTAGACGTCCCAGGGGACTTGGCTCTTAAAGACCTGGACACAGGCTCTTCTGTCACAGGCGGGGCGTGGTTGTCCTTCTCCCAAAAGCAGGGGCTGTTTCCTTAGCAAACCCTCTGGGTCAGATTGCAGCCAAGCCTTTTGAGCATCAGGAGTCCAGTCTGGGATCTATGTCAACCCATGGGGTAGGTTTCAGCATCATATTCTGGAGACGTGTCTCCGACGTCTGAAAGTTGAACGAGAAACCGGAGTCACCTCTGTTAGACTCGGGTTCCTGCTCTGTGCCTATTAGCTGGGGCGTGACCGGAAGATGCCCAGCTGTCCTTGACAAAGGACCAGACGTGATAGGAACCGGGGAAGATACAGAGGATGAATAGTTGGCCGCGGAAAGGCGTAATTACCGTGGCTGTCAGTCTCTGTAATGAAGTGTCGATGGGGCCACATCCAGGCCATAAATTACTGGGGAAGGATGAGGACGGACGTGCCAAAGCTGTCTGCGGTGTGTCTTGGTATGTACAGAAATGGGGAGCATCCATTCCCTGTCTCAGGGAGACACGGGACACAGGCAGCGTGGTCTGGGGAGACACGAGACCCTAGTGGTGTGTGCTGGGGAGATGATTTGGTTCCGAACCACATTTACCACTGATGGAAGTTTCTAGGGTTTTAGGACAGAATTTGGTAATAACGTACTCATTTTGCTGATGAAGAAACCAAGGCCCAGAGAAGGGAGTGGAGTCTTCAGAACTTCCAGGCTGGGACTCAGATGTCCACCTTTTGCCTGTGGTTTGTGGCTCCCTCCACCCTCTGCCCCGCTTAGGCCCACCCAGCCTTCGCACACCCCACCCCCGTTTCCTAGGGATACAGTGCTCACCCGTAGGAACAGACGAACATGGTGTCTGTGTCCCAGAGGTGAGGCTTTAGTCTTGTTATTTCCATGGTCCCCCGCTCTCCAAATAGACTCACATGATCCAAATGTTCAGTAGGGATGAGCTGAGGATTAGATCATGTGTCTTCTGGGAGGATGAATGGACTAGGCATTTTTTTTTTTTTTTTCGAGACAGGGTTTCTCTGTGTAGCTTTGTGCCTTTCCTGGATCTCACTCTGTAGACCAGGCTGGCCTCGAACTTACAGAGATCCGCCTGCCTCTGCCTCCCGAGTGCTGGGATTAAAGGCGTGTATCACCACCGCCAAGCGGCATCCTTGTTTTAAGTGAAATGAGCCAGACTCAGAAAGGCAACCAGTGTGTGCCTATAAGAGGTTCTCAACCTGTGGGACATGACCCCCTTGCAGGTGTGTGTGTGTGTGTGTGTGTGTGTGTGTGTGTGTGTGTGTGTGTGTCTAATGACCCTTTTGCAAGGGTTGCATATCAGATATCCTGCATATCAGATGTTTACATTAGGATCTGTAACAGTAGCAAAATTACAGTTATGAAGTAGCAACGAAGATGATTGATTTTATGGTGGGGAGGGTCACCACAACACGAGGAACTGTATTAAAGGGTCGCAGCGTCAGGAAGGTTCAGAGCTGCTGGCTTAGAGGGAGTGTAGGCAGAACAGAGGGGAAAATAAAGAATTATTGGGGTGCAGAAGAGGAGAGCGGGGTACAGCAGGGGGAAGTAAGGAAGAACAATGGAGGAAGAGGAATGGCCGGTGTGTATTGTGTTCGCGTAATGAAACACTGTGGGGGAAAACCCTGCTCTGCACAATTAATATACAAACCCAAGAGATAATAAAAAAGAGGATCTTCTCTCTCACCACCACCATTCCCCAGCTTCCTGGCCTTTCCCCAGAGGCCGCCTGGAGATGTTCTCCCAGGAAGCTGTCTCTCCTTGCTTCTGTTTGCTGACTCAGTTGCTCATGCATTGGTGTTTTTAGTACCTTCCGTGTGCCTGGCTCTGCTGAGAGAGTCCAGCACAGCCCTGAGTTGCGCTGAGTGTTGCGCTGAGTGGACCTCTCTGGACTTTTCTACTCCAGATGCAAAGCCTTAATTCTTCCCTCCTGATGCCCATGCTGCCTTCTGCAGTGTGGATAAAGCTCCTGAAAGACACTGAGATGATGTGTGTGTGTGTGTGTGTGTGTACACCTGCTTCCTATATGTGCACCATGTGTATAAAGTGCCCGTGGAGGTCAGAAGAGGCCATTGGATCCTCCGGATGCTTGTGAGCTACTGTGTGGGTACTGGGAATGAACCCCAGTCCTCTGCAAGAGCAGCCAGTGCTCTTAGCCACTGAACCATCATCTCTCCAACTGCCCATTGGCCTTGTTTTCAAGACGGGATCTCTTAGGTATCCCTCCAGTAGGCTGGGCTAGCTGGCCACTGGGCCCTAGGGATCGATGTGTCTCCATCTCCCTCCAGATCTGAGATTACAAGCTTCCACCACAACACCTGGCTTTTTGCACGGGCTTGAGGGAACAGAATCAAGGCCCTGTGCTTGTAAAGCAAACACTTTAGCTGCCCGAGTCATCCCCTAGACTGGTGTCTAGACTGTTCTTTTTCTTTCTCTGCTCGTAAAGGATGCTGCAGGATCCTTGTACGCATTCTCCTTAGGAGTTTTGCCACATTGTCTCCCACCCACCTGGAGACCTTTAATACCGTAATGACATCTACAAAACCCCCTTTCCTTGTTCTGGGACAGAATCAAGCTGTGTAGCCCAGGCTGGTCTTGAACTTGCCATACCCCTGACTCTGTTTCCCAAGGCATGCACCATGACTCCTAGCTCCAAAAACCCTTTAGCCACCCGAGACAACAGGCCCATGGACTTGGGGATGAACACGTAGATATCTTTCGGGAGCACAATTTGACACTCTCTCTTCTAGTCTCCATAAAGATAATGAAATGACTTCAATTTCTAGCACCGATGTGATGATAACGTACCATTTTCCGCACTTTTAAAAACACATGTAGATCAATATACTTAAGAAATCAGAAAAGGCCTTTAATCTGCTTCCTAGCTTGCCCCCGGGGATGCTTCTTCCCTGGTTTGACATTTAAACAGAGAATACAGGCAGTGTTGGTAGAAGGATGAAGCCCAGCTCAGGAAGAGGCAGCAGAAACTAAAAGCTTCCTCTTCTCCATTGCTTGAAGTTAAGGGCTTGGCCACCTTAGAGCTCTTTAGAAAGGACGATAGAGAAGCCAGAGCAAACCCAGGGCCCAAACCGTCTCTTCTGGGAGACCCTAGGGACTGTGTGGTGCATGCATTCTGTTGTTACACTCCGTAATCTGTACCTTCCAGAACTTTCTACCCATCCCATAGAGATTTCCTTTCCTTTTAGAGAACCCCAGCCCTTCTGGTCTGGGTGGCATCTCATTGTGTGCTCACTGTTGGTTGCTCTGACTGCTGCTGTAGCCATGCTGTGAGGGAACCCTCAGCCACCCTTCACACATTACATTCATGGTTTTTTTGTTTTAATAATTAAAAAAGGGTTTATTAAATTGTATGTGCCTGAGTATTTTGCATGCATGTAAGTATGTCTATGGGCTGTGTCCTCACGTGGCCTGCCTTCTATGACTGTCACCTCCATTTTACAAGGGATGGCCGCTGAAGTTCTGGAGGGTTTATGATGTACCTGAAGCCACCAAGCTGGGATTCCCCCTGTCTCCGTTTTTCGTGTGTGTGTGTGTGTGTGTGTGTGTGTGTGTGTGTGTGTGTATGTGTCTGTGGAGGCCTGGAGATGATGTCAGGAATCGTCCTCCATTCCTTTTCTGTCTTATTGATTGAGGCAGGGTCTCTCAATCAAACCCAGAGCTCCTGATACAGTGAGTCGCCTCCCTAGCCAGCTTGCTCTGGGGACCCCCTGACTTTGCCTTCTCAGGCTGGGATTGCAGGCAGAGGCTCTGCCCATTGCAGGACTGTGGGGATCCAAGCTCCTGCCCTCGTGCTTGCGCACCGAGGGTTTTCACCGTTGAGCTGACACTCCAGCCTAGCTGGCAGCTGGGCTGTGTCTAGCGCTGTATCAAGAGGGCCATACTGCTTTCCAATGCCACTCAGGACAGCAGTGTCTGACTACTCACATGCCTCTTATTTTCCAGGTTTAATTATTTCAGGTGCTTTACAGTATTTATGCATCCACGTCTGAGAACAGCCCTCCTGTGAAATGGGTACTTTTTTAAAAATCATCTTAATTTACACATTCTGAAGCACAGAGACATCAAGTGACTTGATCAGGGTCACCCAGCTTCTCCCAAGTCTTCATGGCTCCAGGAAGCATCCAGGCTCCAGCCACCAAGACTTGGAGGGATGAAGACAGACTTTCTGACACTGTAGTCAGTGTAGTAGCAAAGGCCACCTTGGGGCCCTTCTCAAGGCTCTGGGATAGAGCATCCCCTGGCCACAATGTTCCATTGTTCAATTATAATCTATTGTGCTTTTTGTCATTCCTAAGTCACAGCTCTGCAAGCCACCGAGGTGCCTGGGTGTGTGACAGCGATGGTTTCTTCAGTAGAGTGTGTGGGTTTGGTCTGTTTTGGAATCTAAAACTGGAACAAAATGTAAACCAGCGTTCAGCACATCTCGGCTGGTGCTGAGGCCGTCACTCATTCCAGTAGCTCTTTCTGCTTCTACGACAACCGGACTTCCTAATGGCAGGCACTTGCGAAGGCCAGCTTCAATTTCCAGTCATTGTCGACTGATGGAGCCTGTCTCGAACATTATGTAACATTCCCAGCATGCAGAGAGGTGCAGAGGACGTTTTGATGAAAACTGAGCGGCCAGTACCCAACTATAGTCATAGAAAATGCCGGTTCCAGTGGGCGGATGGAGGCTTCCACGTGTTCTAGGCTCCTGTCTGCATGATTTCATGATTCCCCCTCTTCCCTCGGGATCATCTTTGTTTGAATTCAGCCTGTTTTCTTTGTATAATTTTTTATTCCATCTTATATATATGGGTGTTTCTGTTGTTGTCCCCACCCCCCCAAGGCAGGGTTTCTCTGTGTAGTTTTTGGTGCCTGTCTTGGATCTCGCTCTGTAGACCAGGCTGGCCTCGAACTCACAGCGCTCTGGCTGTGAGTGCTGGGATTAAAGGCATGCGCCACTGCCGCCTGGCCCTGTCTATGGGTGTTTTGCCTCCTTGTATGTGTACCTCATGTATGTAGTGCTCACAGACACTAGGAGAGGGCATTAGATCCCCTGGAACTGGAGTTACAGACAGTTGTGAGCTGCTGTGTGGGTGCTGGGAATCGAACCAGGGTCCTCTGCAAGAGCAGCCAGTGTTCCTAACCCTTGAGCCATCTTTCTGGCCCATCAGCAGGTTTTCTTAAGTATGTTGGCCACATATGTTACCCTAAGTTGCGTTACGTTTCGTGCATGTCTAGAAACTTTCTGTAAAGGGTGCGGCTTCTGCAGCGTGCTTCTCTGCAATGTCCCTAGGTCTCACCCAATGTCCCCAGGGCTCACCCAATGTCCCCAGGGCTCACCCAATGTCCCCAGGGTTGGTTGATTTTCTGCGGTGTAAAATCTGTGCTTCTGACACACCTCCTTCCCCTTCACCCCCATGCAGCCCATCTCCTGTG